TGTGGTGATTATGGTATAACAGCATTGAACAATGTTACACCTGCAGGGATTTTAGAACCCTTTGACATTTTAGAACCCCTGTAGATTGTAATGACAATCTACAAACTGATACTAACAGATACTTGCAGGATTTTTAGACTTTACATACCTTATTTCTCTTTTCCTCCTCATTCTTCTCAAGGTGGCCATTGTTACTAGGGGCAGAATAATCCATCTCCCTATATTTCCTGGAACTCTGGCACATGTGACCAGGACATGTGACCATGCACATCATCTCAAGGGGAAAAATGCCTTTCCCTGAGACCTTGCGAAATTAGGCAGTTTATAGATACAATTCAGTTCTAGATTTCAGGAAATATTACCGTCACCTTAGATCCCTTTGAAACCTTGCTAATGAGTTCTCCCTAAAAAACTCTCGTCACTATATCTGAAATAACTATGCAGAGATGTCTGTACCTTACATAAACAGAAACAAGGTTTTTAAAACATTAACACAAGCCGCTGAGAATATTTAGATTAAACTGATCACATGACAAATTAAATTGATAAACAGCGTTCGGTTGTGGTTGACCTGTATGGGAGTTCACTGGTGTACACCCTTCGGCCTCCTTCACACATATGAATAGATCAAGATAGCCGATTCTTGTGGCTGGAATGTGCAGATAAATCTGAACAGTGGCGGAGAGCTGCAGTGCCCGTCATTGCTTTGTACAGGCTTCCCGGCTGCAGCGAGCCACTGTCTGAACCTATTGGACATCTGATTGAGGACTTGGTCCCCTACCGGGATATTGAGTGGTGCGGTCTGTCTCAGTCTGGTTCTCTAATGAATAGTATCCAGCTAGAGACAGGCCCCGCCTCCCCAGTTCACAACTGCTGATAACGGACGGTTCAAATCAAAAAATTGTTGTAAAATCTTAAATATAGGTGAGTCGTGGTTTGCAGAGTCAGCCCCTGGCTTCATATGTGTCTAGATACTCCAACAGCGAGATCCCCCAGCCATAATTCCCGGCTCTGTTCCCGCCCATTTAGGAGTTTTAGGTGTCCCTGTTCACCTGTGTGTGTTTCTCCTCCTGTTATATATCCATAATAAATATAAAAGTCCATCAGGGATGGTGGGAGCCCCGTATAATGCGCACAGCAGACGTGTAGACCCAGAAACTCAGCACAGAGATCTCACCAATAGAGTCCCGGAGAGATAGAAGAGACTGTCAGGTATTTTAACTCTCTGGCAACTACAAAACACTGAGATATCAGTTTTGGAGGGACTGAACCTTTAAAAAGAACTGAACTCTGGAAGTTGTGGCCCAAAAAAAAAGTCAGGTAGAGGCCAAAGGACTAGCACAGAGTATCGCCTGTGGACTCCCTGCAGCTGATCTTTTCCTCATAACCAACTATGCCTTCTTATCTCCGTTTAGAGGCAGCCACCTTGGTAGAGGCAGGGCTTTCCGTTCCTCCAGCAAGGAGAACAGCGAGCAGCACAGTAGTGACATCGCTAAATCTCACTCCAAATCTCCTGAGAATAGCAGTGCCTTAGATCTCACACTGCAGATATACAGCTATGAGGAAAGCCTAGTTACTATCGCATACCAGGAAGTGCACTGCTATTTTTAAGGAGGAATTCTGTACAAAAGGTACATTTTATGGCTACTCCTTAGGCACAATTAACACTTCTAAACTGTCCCTATAACACAACAAATCTTCACTTCTTGTGTTCAGTTTCACTTTACCACTCCACCAAATATTCCCTGATCAATGAGACATTCACTCACCTCATACGTCTGAGCCAAGTACATTCCCACCACATTCCCCAAGGCAAACCCCACCTGGAAGGAGGAAGAAAAAGAGACATCGTCAGTGATAAATACATCAGATGTCTGACAAGAGTTCCACACCGCACCCGGAATTCTGTACTGATATTGTGAAAAAGAGGTTTCCATTCTTTTAAAGGTAGTGATAACTACACTGTAACCAACTTATTATATTTGTAATGTGCTCATTATTTTTTAATTGAGTGAGGAAGGATTGAGCGCCTGTCAATGGCTTTTATGCCGTCTGTGCCCTGCTGTCCAGCGATAAAAGCTCCCCAGCATTTCTTGCGTGGGTGAGGGAAAATATCCCCAATGGGGTCAAACCTGATGGAAATGTGAAGGTGTATGTATAGGGAATTCATTTCCTGTTGTCTGTGTCCTGTTGAGGAAATTTTCCTTCACTTCCTGTACCACAGATGAAGCAGGAAGTTAGTGAAAGTCTCAGCAAAGTGATACAAATCCCTCTCTAAGGGCTCATGCAGAGCAAATACAGTTGTACTTTCCTACAGCATAAAATATGCCTGCATTTGTGTCGACCAGGAGCTGAAACGTCTGCAGTTTTCGGTCCATAGAAATTTATAGCAATGGAGGGATGCACCGATACTAGTACCCAAATGCTCCGATGCCTAGCACGATACCTGAGCTACCAGTATCAGGAAGCCGGGCAGCGAGTCATTACACGCTGCCCGGCTCTCCGATTGGCCCAGGAAACCGGCTCTATGGTTCCTTGTCACTCGGTGACCAGGGAGCATGGAGCTGGCTTGTCGGCCAATCAGGAAACCAGGCAGCTTGTAATCGCTTTTTGCCCAGCTTCCTGATTGGCCAGCTTCTCGACCAATCAGGATGATGGTCAACGAGTCATTACGCAGTGCCCGGGTTCCTGATTAGCCAGAAAGCCGGCTCCATGCTTCCTTGTCACTTTGTGACGAGAGAGCATGGAGACGGTTTCCATGCTATCAGGAAGCCGGGTGGCAAGTCATTACACGCCGCCTGGCTTCCTTAATGGGACTTCCGGTATCGGTATTAGCGAGTACCGAAAAAATATATTGGAACTCGATAACGAAAAAGCGGTATCGGTGTATCCCTAATAGTAATCGCATAGGTGTGAATTGGCCCACAGACAGTTACAAATGGAATAAGTGTCACCATGAAATATTTCCCCTCATCCCTATAACAATGGTTCCCATGGTAATCAGGGAGGGTGACTCTCCCCAGCAGAGACACAGACAACTCTCACAGGGGTTCTTACTCTTCCCTAATCCGTCCAAAAACATAAACGGAAAATGTATAAACGGAAATGCAGCAAAAAAAAGGATAAAAATTAATAGCCCATTTAACAAAATCAGCTTTTGCCGCAATATTCATCTTCACCCCCCCTTGAGATGTCATCAGTCTGACTGCCAGCATCATTTAACCACCTTCCTCTGAGCTCAGGTCATCCAGACCCACCCCCAGCATGTGATTCAGCAGTGAAAGGAGAAGCAGCACAGCAATGAACTCATCTCTCTGCTCTCTCCTATCAGCAAGCTTGTTCTTAGTACATTAAGTGATTGGCTTCTTTTCATATTCCAGCCCTGCTGTACAAGGACTGCATTTGGCTGACACCAGGACAGATTCTGGTACTTGCACTGCTTGCATATAAAAAAATAATAATTTAATTATGTTTTTATATATAGAGAGGTGCATTCATTTGTGTCTATTATATCTGCCCGAAGCTCAGCTTTAAGCGTTCCCCACAACTGACTTTAACGGCACAGTTTTCATCGGCACAGTCATCCGTCAGGGAAGCGACAATTAATGGGCCAGGCGACATGATGCTCAGACAATTCTTGTCTATGAACAAGCGGGGGCACGCTGGAGTCTGACATAAGTTCTGATACTTCCCCAAGCAATCCAAAATTTTATGCAGATCAATACATGACATAAAAGAGGAACATTTGTAGAGGGACAGGAGGGATCCGAGACCAGGCAAGCGGACCGCAGAGATTTGTATACAGACACATATACATTGCTATGGGATCCCTGTCTGAGCTGCCACCCCCAACTCTGGCACTTTTCAACCCAGCAGGAAAGGGTTAAGTGTCCTTCTTTGCCTCCAATAACTCACCAAAAACTGTAACATGTTGCTCCACCGCTCTGCACAAGACTCAACTGCTATGTCAGGGTACAAACGTCCTATTTCCGCAGGAAGCTCCCTAGCCGCCATTTTTATATGGGGCAATGCTGTGGCCGGTGGTGCGATGGCGGCATCTACTGGCCAATAGTGAGAATGCAGTAAATATTTAGCTGAATGCAGGAAACCAGCAGAGGTGGTAGAAGGAGCTAACAGTCATTAAGGTTTGGACAGGATTCTGGCTTCTTATGTATCTACAGGTGAAACTCGAATAATTAGAATATCGTTCAAAAGTTCATTTATTTCACCAATGCAACTTAAAAGGTGAAACTAATATATGAGATAGACTCATTACATGCAAAGCAAGATAGTTCAAGCCGTGATTTGTCATAATTGTGATGATTATGGCTTACAGCTCATGAAAACCCCAAATCCACAATCTCAGAAAATTAGAATATTACATGCAATCAATAAAACAAGGATTGTACATAGAACAATATCGGACCTCTGAAAAGTATAAGCATGCATATGTACTCAGTACTTGGTTTGGGCCCCTTTTGCAGCAATTACTGCCTCAATGCGGCGTGGCATGGAAGCTATCAGCCTGTGGCACTGCTGAGGTGTTATGGAAGACCAGGATGCTTCAATAGCGGCCTTCAGCTCTTCTGCATTGTTCGGTCTCATGTCTCTCATCTTTCTCTTGGCAATGCCCCATAGATTCTCTATGGGGTTCAGGTCAGGCGAGTTTGCTGGCCAATCAAGCACAGTAATCCCACAGTCATTGAACCAGGTTTGGTGCTTTTGGCAGTGTGGGCAGGTGCCAAGTCCTGCTGGAAAATGAAGTCAGCATCCCCATAGAGCTCGTCTGCGGAAGGAAGCATGAAGTGCTCCAAAATCTCCTGGTAGACGGCTGCGTTGACCCTGGACTTAATGAAGCACAGTGGACCAACACCAGCAGATGACATGGCTCCCCAAATCAACACAGACTGTGGAAACTTCACACTGGACTTCAAGCATCTTGCAGTGTGTGCCTCTCCATTCTTCCTCCATACTCTGGGTCCTTGGTTTCCAAATGAGATGCAAAATTTGCTCTCATCAGAAAAGAGGACATTGGACCACTGAGCAACAGACCAGACAGAGTCCCCGAGAGGTAGAAGAGAATGTCAGGTAATATAAAATGAAAGGAGAACTATGAGGTCAGGGCTTTTCCCCATAGTTCTCCTAAGGGTAACGGGAGGACACAAACTAGCGTCCTCCCGTCACCCTAAGCTCAGTCGCGGTATACTGAGGCGCCGCAGACAGGACGGATCCCGACATTACTGTCGAGATCCACCCAGCTGCGGGATTGTCAGCTGGCTCTGCCTATTTAGAGGCAGAGCCAGCTGTGCCGCCCCTCCTCCATCTATTCCGATAGTCAGCGCGGATCAGACAGGGAAGGGGGGGGGATCCCTGCAGGGAGCCGTGAGTGACAGTCACCGTTCTCTGCAGGGATAGACCGAGAAGTGAGCGAGCGACGCTATGTGCTCGCTCACTTCACGATCTATTTAGCCAACCTGTGACAGTTTCATTGTCACAGGTCGGCTAGAACTATGAGGCTGAGTGATTTTTCACTCGCCGCATAGTACTCCTTTAAAGTCAAAAGGTTTTTAAGCTATTTCAAATGCTGATTAAATCACTTACGATGGATGCTGCTCCTTGATGTTTAAAAGTGTTACTTTCCTGCAGAATCATCTGGTTCCCGTGAGCACTGGCCCCGATATCCTGTTTTAAGGTGGCTCCTTTCCCATGCATGGTCCTGTGGAGCCACCCTTGTGTGTGCTAGTAAGCTGTGTGTGTCTCCAAAAAAAAAGATAGAGAAGGTAAACCATGGTATGTCTAAAAGGCATTAACACGCTTTCATATTTTAACAGGATATTGTTGCAGAGTTTGCAGAGATGCAATTGAAAACTGGATTGGTAAAATCCCCAAGATTCTATCAAAAGAAATTGCAGTTGCCGAGCATTTTTTTGTGAAAATCCATTCCTGGATTGTGTTGGGATCCTCAGATTTCCTTTTTTTGGTTTTGACTTCCAGCCTGATAAAATGCACCAATTTCTCCAAAGATTTACTTTTTCTTCACCTTTTGCTCTTAGGAGACAAAGATCACACAATTATTGACCCATTATCAGGAGAACATATCTGCTGATATTCCAGATTACTTTGCATTATTCTGTCATTGAGTAAACTCATCACACACCAGGGAAATACAAAATAAACACATGGTGACAATATTTACAGTGTCGTGCCGACTGTGCTGGGTGAGGCATCCCCCAGCCCGGTAAAGCTCCGCCACGTCCCACCAAAGCCCCACCCCCAGCTCAGTAATCAAGCTGTATGGGGAGGAGCCTTCCTGTCCCTCGCTTGCTAGTTACTGCTGAGGCATCAAGATCGATGGCCTCAGTGGGTTGTTTTTTTTTTATTGGGCACTTTGGACCAATAGCGCTTTGCCATTGGTCCAAGCCATCCACACAGCTAATGCCTCTAACACAGAGTAGAGGCTGTGACAGCTCTTGCCTCACCAAGTTAGGTTACGCAAGAAGTGGGGAAGCCCGCTTTTTCAGACTTAAAGCCGACACCTTTTTATTTCATAATACTAGTTGAGGCTCTGCCTCACCTTCCTCCCCTTCTGACCGCACGTCCCTGAATATTTCTAAGCAGAAGCATGAGAAAAAAGTTTGCACTTGGCTATGGTCCCTTCGACCTCTCAGATTGTTCTAAGGGTCCTTTATGATAGACAGCTTTATGGATGTTGTCATGTTTGAATTGACCAGATTTCCGACAAGTTTACCTGAAAGTGATATTAAAGTCAACGTTTTTAAGCTATTTCAAATGCTGATGAAATCACTTACAATGGATGCTGCTCTTTGACGTTTAAAAGTTTTAGCTTCCTGTAGAATCCACAGGTTATTATTATCATATGGGATTTATATAGCGCCAACAGTTTGCACAGCGCTTTACAATATAAAGGAAGATATTACAATCACAATACAATTCAGGACAAGATTGTAAGGAGGGCCCTGCCCGTGAGGGCTTACAATCTATTTCCCTTAGCACTGGCCCTGATTTCCTGTTTTAGGGTGGCTCCTTTACTTTACAGGGTCCTATGGAGCCACCCGCATGTGTGTGCTAGTAAGCTGCGTGCGTCTCCACAAACACCCGGGTATGGCAAGGCAAACCAATAGATCCCCGCTCCCCTCTCCAAGCTAGTAGATGGACAGTTGCTGTAGTCTGTGCTGTCCCTTACGATCTTGTACGGAACAGGAAGTTCAGGGAAGAAGCGGATATAGTTGAAGCCAGGTGTTTGCAAACATGAATACTGTAAGTGCTTGAGCAGAAATGTAAGGAAATACAGTGCTGGGCAATGTACATTGGTTTGATCTGGATTCAATATTTAAAAAAAAGTTTGAGAGTTTGATACTACTTTAGCGTGAACTTGTTTGTAACCACCTTCCCTTAACTCCCCTCCACCAGCAGAAGAAGCCCTGTGTAAATTGGCCCTCTTGGGGTTAACACAAAGGGAATGATTCCCCATCCCCCCTGCAATTCCCTGCTCAAGTTTACTTAACAGCAGAAACTTATTTTAACTCTAGTTTGATTTTAGCTACACTTTATTGCCATACGTTTGCCAACACCTGACCATCACACCTACATGAGCTGGTTGGACATCCCATTCAATAATCATGGGCATTAATATGGCGTTGACGTCACTTTGTGGCTAGAACAGACTTCACACTTGTGGTAAGGCTTTCCACAAGATTCTGGGTGTATCTGATATTTGTGTCCATTCAGACAGGAAAAAAAAAGTGTGCAGTCCACACTAAACTGATCACACTATGTCTTTAGTAAGCTGACTTTGTAGTAAGCACAGTAGCACAGTCATGCTGGAACAGGAAAAAAAAAAGATGTTTCTCCTTACCACAAAATCTATTTCTTCAAATCCATTGAGGGACACAGGAAATCATAAAGAGTCAGGTTATAGAGCCACCTTCAGGAGGTTGGGACACTGGCAAACAGAAATGCTGAAAAGGCAGCTCCTGTATAACCCTTCTGCTGTTCAACATGCCTCTGTTTGACGAGAAAGGAAAGAGTAGTAGGACTTGAGTGACTTAATGGTCTCGAAGAAAAAGATTTTAGGGTAAGTACAAAAGTTTTCTCCATCGTCCATTGAGGGACACAGAAATTCACCAACAGGATGTTCAAAAGCAGTCCAGCTGAAGGTTGGGCAAAAGCTATTGAAGGATCTGAAATGAAGCCATCTGCACAAGGGCAACCAGAAAGACCAAATCCCATGCAGGACAGGAACATTTACTAACACAACCAAGGGAAGGCTACAGAGAATCAACCTGATGCTCAGACCAGGACAGGAGAGATCACCATCAAGGGGGAATGTTCCATTCAAAGGAACACTAAGCCTGCAGCAGCTGTGAGCAAAAACAACCACACTTACAGGTGGAGGAAGTTGGAGATGGGAAACTGAGGAGGAAGAAGGGAACAAAACTACAGTTTGTAGCCCTGGGATACCTCCTCCTGCACCTAAGCTTCTTAGGTTCAAGCTGTCCATGGAGATGCAAAGGTTAACAAACATCCCCTCAACTCTGGAAAGTGGGGGTGCACCTTCATGCGGAGGCAGGTTTGGCTGAGGATTTGTCAATTGACATTGCATTACTATGTCCCTGATTTTGTGTACCTGTTAGGCCCCTTTCACACGGGCATTACAATCAGATCCACCTGAAAGTTTTCCAAGCTGACCTGATCGGATGCCCAGTGCTAGTCTAAGGGCAGCGATCTGTTTACACCCAGCTACCCCAAAGTTTGACCAAGTCTGGAAAAATCATGCCGGATTTGGGGTGATCTGAAGTAAACGGACACATGTCCTGTTTACATCCGTTACCCCAAAGACTGGAATGGGATCCGGAAATTTCATTTTTTCCCCTCCATCGCAAGATGGAGGAAAAACTGGACAGACACGGATGTCACAACAATGACATCCGCTCCGTACTGCTCTGATCAGTATGGGAACTGTGCACGGCTCCCC